CTGATTTTTTGATTTATTGTAGAGATGAGGTCTTGCTGCCTAGGCGGGTCTCGAACCCGCGGGCTCAGGCAATCCACTTACCTCAGCCTCCCAAAGGCGCGGGATTACAGGCTGAGCCACTGAGCCCTGTGCACGCATTGTTTTATTAAGCAAACATCAGTCCCCTGCTCTGTGTCAGGCATGATGCTTAGGCCCTCGGGAAGGAATGCTGATAGTGGTAAGTGGGGGTGGTGGTAACTGTTAAAAGGATCAGTGTTGGGGCAGGGGAGCAGGCCCAGGACTGGGGCATCCCCAAAAACGTGCGTGGTGCTCAGTGGCAGCTTCTCACGTGGAGTGACATGATGATTTCTTCAAATCTTGCTCCACTTAACCAGTTCTAAAATAGTTACTGCGTAGCACCCTGGGAATCTTCCCTGTGCCAGGTCCTGGGTTGGTTTTGCTTCAACAAAACTGAATGGGGCTAGGTGCAGTGGCTCATTCCTATAATCCCAGCACGTCTGGAAGCTGAGGTGGGAGGACTGCTTGAGCCCAGGAGTTTAAGAAAAGCCTGGGCAACATAGTGAGATGACCTCATCTCTACAAAACAAAAAAAAAACAAAAAATTAACTGGGCATTGTGGTGCAGACCTGTATTCATGAGGCTGAGGCGGGAGGTTGTCTGAGCCAAGAGGTCGACACTCCAGCCTGGGCGATAGAGTGAGACCCCCAACTCACACAAACAAAGAAAGCCAAATAGAGCCTGAATCTTCCTGTAAACAACTCTTAGTGCAGTGCAATGGTTTTTTTTTTTTTTGAGTCAGAGTCTCACTCTGTCACCCAGGTTGGAGTGCAGTGGCCCACTCATGGCCACCACAGCCTCGATCTTCTAGGCAGGTGATCCTTCTGCCTCAACCTTACAAGTAGTTGGAACCACAGGCTTATGCCACCGTGCCTGGCTAATTTTTTGATTTATTGTAGAGACGCAGTCTCGTCATGTTGCTCAGGCTGGTCTTGAACCCCTGAGTTCAGGCAATCCTCTTGTCTCTGCCTCCCGAAGTCTGGGATTACAGGCGTGAGCCACTGTGCCCAGACTTAGTGCAGTGATTTTTAATTTCTTTTGGCTTATGCATTTCTGTGAGACTCTGAAGGAAGTTGTGAATAGTTGCCCTAGAAAACCACATATACGCATACAATTTTGCATGTAACTTTAAGATCCTCAGAGACTGATCTTGCTCTCAGCCCCCAGTGGATTTAAGATCAAGAAACCTCTGCTCTGGTGGGAGATACAGATTCATAAATCACAAGCAAAATACAGCACAGTGTATACAGATAGAGAGAAGCTCCCAGACATTCTGGGAACCCAGAGAACCTGACTTGGGGCAGAGGAAACACTTGTTAAATTCCGTAATCCAGGACAACTAGGAATTAGCCAGGAAAGGAGGGGGGATAGGTATGGCCATTCACCAAGCTGCAGGTACTGCAGAAGGCAGGCAACCCTCCGGGAGCAGAGGGGGACTGAGTTGTGTGACCCAGGAGTTGCTGGCAGCAGATCCCTGACCCAGCACAGTGGATCTCGGCCCTCCAGGGGTCCTGAGACAGCCATGCCTGATGGCTGTGCAAGGCACTCAGTGTCCCACGTGTCATTGCTGCTCAAACTCCCAGCAGAAGCAGCACCTCCCTGTGTCACAGATGGGGAAACTGAGGCCCAGCCTGGGTAAGGGGCTGGCCTGGGGCCTCACTGTCAGAGTCAGCTGCAGCCGGATCCTGGGGCCAACCCTGCCCACTGGACCGACCACTTCTCCCAGGACCCCTCTTGGGAAATCTGTCCCAGGATCCAAATGTGTCCTCATTTGTGGGGCTGGAGGACCGTGGGGAGAGCTTCATTGGGGAGGTCTGGGTGACAATGGGGGGGGGTCGAAGTCAGGAGGTGGATGGATGCACTCACCTCTCGGATTATGCTCAAGGGTCTCTGGTCCCATGCATGGGGCGCCTCGTGACAGAAGATCGTCTGAAGGAAGTGAAAGCTGGTAAGTCATACCCTGGGGTGGGGAGACTTCAGGGGGCAGTGAGATAGGTTGGATCACAGTAGGTGATGGGGAGAAGGAAGGGATTTGCCCCAAGGCAAGGACCTGCAACTCAGTTCCGTTGTGCTTGTCTTTATCGGGGTGGGTACAGCATTAGGTCTCATGGGGTTACCAAGAGACAGAACATACAGCCCCACCCAGGGGATTACAATCGCCCAGAGGAAATGAGACTCGAAAGTTAAGCCCCCAAATCATTCAGTGCAGCAAGAGTAGTTCAGACTCATGAGGGGGGATGGAGTCATTTTGTAACTAGGGAACCTGATGGAGACAGTTTTTGATTCAGGCTTTGAAAGGTGTGAAGAATTTGGAGGGAGGAGATGCTAGCAGAGGGTGCCAGAGCCAAGGATGAGATTTGAGACCGACAGAGAGACCTGGTGTCAACCAGTGGCCTTTCCCCTCCCCATGACCCAGCTCTGGAAAACCTGAGACATGACCCAGAAGCATCAGTGTGCATCTGTGCAGCTGAGGCCCAGGACCACATTCTGGCCAGCTGCGGGCGGAACTACTGGTGGCCGCCACCCGAGTACACATGGGTGTGCGACCCGGCCACCACGCACCGCTGGAGCCCCAGCTGTGAGGACCTGCCCACCTCCCACAAGCGGCGCCCCTGGATCATGCAGGCACTGGGCTCCTGGAGGATGTCCTTGAAGTTGTGATGTCCTCGAGCCCCCGTCCTCCTCAGGTGGCCTAGACCCAGCCGGGCGCACTATAAATGCCATGTGTTTTACCTGTCTCTCCTGAGCGTGTCCTCACAGGAGATGCGGCAGGCTTGGAGCCACCATTCCTCTGTGTGACAGTTTGCACGAAGAGCATGACCTTCATCTGTCTATCCGGTCCCTTTGACTAACTGTGTACTGACACATAAAGTAAACAGTTTGATCCATGTTGGGAAACTGAGGTTCAGAGAGGTGAAGTGGCTTGCCCACAGCCACACAGCAAATCTGCTGGATGTCTCAGTTTCCCCTCCTTCACATTATAATAACAAAAGGAGATGATGATTTGGGTGGCCCTTAGGGGAAAGGAGGGGGAAAGAAGAGACAACCCCCACAACGTCATGCGTATCCTGGAATTCTGATCTCCTAGTCCCACCCTCGGTTTTTGCCCAGCAACTGACCATCACCGATTCTAGCGATATTTATGGAGCACTTAACCTGGGCCAGGCCTCTTCTGAGTACCAGTGATGAGAGAAGCCCAGCTTCAGGCCAGGCCCTGAGTAGTTCATGGTCTGATGCAGTGGTTCTCAACCAGGGGAGATTTTGACCCCCCCGGGGACTACTGAACCATGTCTGGAGACGTTTCTGGCTCTTACAATGTTGAAGGTGGGTGCTTTTATCATCTAATGGGTAAAGGCCAGGGTTGCTGCTAAACATCCTTCAGTAATTCCCAGGACAGCCCCCACAAAGAACGATCTATCCCAAATTGTCAAAAGTGTCAAGGTGGAGAAACTTTGGCCAAATGGTAAAGGCTGGGCATAATGAATGGCTTATGCCTGTTATCCCAGCACTTTGGGAGGCTGAGGCAGGAAGATCACTTGATGCCAGGCATTTGGTCCACATAGCAGGACCCTAGCTCTACAAAAACTTAAAAATTAGCCAGGCATGGTGGCTCACACCTGTAGTCCTAGCAATTCTGGAGGCTGAGGTCATGGGAGGATCACTTGAGCCCAGGAGGTCAAGGTTGCCATGAGCTATGATCATGCAACTGCACTCTAGCCTGGGCGACAGTGAGACCCTGTCTTAGAACACACACACACACACACACACACACACACACACACACACACACACACACACAAGACCCCAAACATATAAAGACACAGCAGAGTAGGTCAGCATGGGGATTGAAGTTACAGAGGCCAGCTAGGAGTTGGGGTGTCAGAGAAGGCTTCCTAGAGAAGAGACCTTCCCCACTCTGCAGGGGGCCTGAAAAAATGACCACATGGGGGCATATATGGAAGGGAACAGGGCACATGGAACCGGACCATCTGCGGTTATGTGGTATGATGGAGCCTACAGGTGGAAGGGAGAGGAGGGCAAGGGTCAGGCCACCAAGGCCGTGAAGATTGTGTTGAGGAAGGCGACTTCATCCTGAGGGAGCAGGGAGGCATTGTAGGTGCTAAGCACAGGAGAGATGCTGGCAGATTTCTGATTCAGAAAACTCCCTCGTCATGGGGATAAGGAACCCTCGGCCATGCTGGTGGGACAGTAGATTGGTGCAGCTATTCCAGACAGGACTCTGTCAGTATTCAGCCATATACAGTTCCTGCCCACCCGTGACCCAGTGACTTCACTCATGGGCACACATATTGGGAGAATCTTTCAAAGATCATGAAAAGATGTATCAGGAAATTTATTACAGCATTCTCTATGGTACTGGCGAGAGGAGGCAGCTTGGGTAGCCATCCCTGGGGAGACAATGTGCACCACAGAGCCCCACACAGTGGTTAGAGACTGTGGGAGGGACCCAAAACCCAGTCTGAGTGGAAAAAGCCTATCAAAATGTATGCACAAAAGCATTCACATTTTTGGCCAGGCATGGGGGTGCAGGCCTATAATCCCAGCTCTTTGGGAGGCTGAGGCGAGAAGATTGCTTGAGTCCAGGAGTTTGAGATCAGCCTGGGCAACACAGTGAGATCCCATCTCTACAAAAAATTTAAAAATTCGTCAGGTGTGGTGGTGTGTGCTTGTAGTTCCAGCTGTTTGGGAGGCTGCGATGGAAAGATCGCCTGAGTCCAGGAGGTGGAGGCTGCTGTGAACTGTGATCGTGTCACTGTACTCTAGCCTGGGCAACAGAGTGAGACTCTGATTAAAAACAAAAATTGCATTTTTTAGAAACACTTACAGACTGAGAAGACACATGGAAACACACTCGAATGATTGACTAGGGAGAAAGATTCTGGGGTATAAAAGGGAGTGGTGAAAAGGCAAGTGTTGGGAGCCAGCAGAAGAAGTCCATGCTGTATTGGAGTGAAAGGCTGGTTGGCAAGGTGGGCAAGCGCAGTCAGGGAGGCCTGGCCAGAAACTGCCAAGGGAATGGCAGGCGGACCGTGCGGAATGGAGAGAGTGGGCGGGCCTGCGGGGGACGGAGGAAGGAGAATTTCAGAAGCTGGGGGTTGGCAGGCTAGAGGAGGGAGAAAGGAGAGGGAGGCAGTGGGGATGGTGCTGAGTTTCCCGGTGGATTACTGAGCCAACGAGGCCCCACGCTGAGTGGTGAATCCACCACCAGGAGCAGGTCTGTGGGAGCGGGAGATGTGAATGAGTTCAGTCTGGACATGGCGAGCTTGAGGGACTATGCAACAAACTCAAAGGGGGCAGCCACAAGGTGGTTGGCTGCTGCCATGGTCTGAATGTTTGTGTCCCCTGCAAAATTCCCTTGCTGAAATCTGAACCCTCAATGTGATGGCAGTAGAGGTGGGGCTTTTAAGAGGTGAGTGGGGATTCATGAATGAGATTAGTGCCCTTATAGGAGAGACCCCGGGGAGCTCTCTCACCCCTTCTGCCACGTGAGGACACAGTGAAAAGATGGCAGCAGGCCCTCACCAGACACTGAATCTGCCAGACCTTGATCTCGGATGTCCTAGCCTCTGCAACTGTAAGAGACAGATGTTTGTTATTTGTGAACCCCAAAGTCTATGGTATTCTATGATAGCAGCCTGTATGGGCTAAGATGGATGCACAGGGCTGGAGCTCAGCAGAGGGGTTTGAGGGGGAAACAGACTTGGGATTCATTGTGTACTGGGAGTGGGTGAGACTCCCCCAGAAGAGTGTGTAGAGTGGGGAAGACATCAGCCCGATGAGCACCCAAATAATGCTTCTTCTGGAGATGAGGATCCCGTGAAGTTGACCATACAGTCTTCCTCCAAGAAGGTTTTTGTTTGTTTGTTTGTTCTGAGTGAAAATCTCACTCTGTCACCCAGGCTGGAGTGCAATGTGGCATGCTCATGGCAACTGCAGCCTTGACCTGCTGGGCTCAGGCGATCCATCCAGGCCATCCATCTGAGGCCACCCAGACCCAGAACAAAGATTTCTGGGTCTGGGTGGGACTACAGTTGTGCTACCACGCCAGGTTAATTTTTTGATTTTATTATAGAGATGAGGTCTCGCCAAGTTTTCCAGGCTGGTCTCGAACCCCTGGGTTCAGGCCTCCACCTCCCAAAGTGCTGTGATTACAGGCATGAACCACCGGGCCGGTTTCATCCTCCAATAAATGGCAGGTCAAGGCCATTGGGGTTCTGGGACTGAGAGAGCAGGAAACAAGGGTGGCCCATGTGCACAACTCTCCCCATTGCCAAGAATGCTCACAACCACTGCATCCTTTGCTTGGCTTTATTGCTGACATTCTACCGACTAGGACAAAGCTTAAAAGCTTAAAAGACTGTGGGCTTTGCCCACAGTCACACAAGGGAACCAAGGGGAGTGTGGGTCCCATACTACCCCCAACTCCTCTACCTGAGCTCTTTTCACCCAGAGACACTGCTGCTTTCATTGGCCAGAACCCTGGTCTGAGGTGATCTTGGCAAATGATGGTGGCTGTGTTCTGGGTCTGGGTGGCCTCAGAGCAGAGCAGAGACTGATCAGTTCAGTTATTGGTCAAGGCCAGCAAGCAGTCATGAGTTGAGAGGTTCAAAGAGCATTGGGCAAGTCACTTCCCCTCTCTGAGATTGCCCCGCTGTCACCTGTAAAATAGGTTTTTGTTAGTGTTCTTATAGGAATCAAATGAAAAAAAAGGAAGCAAAGGGACTTTGTAGGCTCTGCACTCAACAGAACAAGGAAGGGAGCCAGGGTTGGGGAGCGGGGCTGAAGGAGGAAGTATGGAAAAGGAGGTTTGGATTTGGAGGGAAGGGCGCACTTGGGCAGGTGTCCTGCTGGGTGTAGAACTCCAGGCGCCGGCACTGGAAGGCTCATGATCCCCATGCATCATCCTTAGCCTTGCTGCCTCCCTTAGTCCCATGCCAAAGAATGACCAACTTGCCAGCTCCACTGCTGGGCTTCAGATCCCTCCTCTCCCTTGGTCTTCACCGGCAGCCTCCTTGTCAATCTCTTAACCCCGCCTCCCCGCAACGATCCTTCACCTGGCCGTCCAGGCCTTCCTAAGAGAAATGTGTCTCCCACCACTCTAAGGTCTTTTCAGTGGCTGGGAAGTGACTGATGAACAAACGAGCAGAAGAAGCGACACTGGGTCCTTTGTGGGGCTTGGGTTTATCCGCCACTCCAAAAGCATTCGGGACCGGCGAGGCTAAGGTTCTACCGAGGGGAGGGCGGGGCGGAGGCGGGGTTTGTTCGGGGACGGGTGGGGCCATTCCAGCGGAGGGGCCTTTCCGGCGGAACCCTCGGCGCGCGGGCTGGCGCGGCCCGGACAACTGAGGGAAGGGTGCCCGCGCCGCCGGAAGGAGCCTCCCGCTTCCAGGCGTCAGTATATCCACTATGGAACCTTCAGACCAGGACGCCGCCTCAGACGACGCCATGGACTCGTTCCTGGAAAAGTTCCAGAGCCAGCCTTACCGCGGCGGCTTCCGCGAGGACCAGTGGGAGGAGGTGGGCGGTCTTGGGGGCCCCGCACGTGTGTGGCGCGTCTTCCGCACTCCCAGGCTCTAGGCCGCCCCCCGCATCCCCCATCCCTGGTGCTGCCCCGGATGGGTGGTTTCCAGACACGAGGTTTTTTGAACGTTCTCTTAAGCTGTCAGTACACTTAAGAGTCCAGGTTTGGCCCTGAACATTTACCGTAATACTATAAGGAAGGAATTGGCAGTAGCAGGACACTGCCAGGGAAGGAAGGGCACATAACGTCAGTAAGGGTAAGGGTACCTGATCTCAAACCAGGCAAAGTGGGGGGTGGTGATGGAGGAAAGAGTCCAGGTTTTAGGTCAGACCCGTGGCTCCACCACCTACTGGCTCTAATATGGGTCAGTTACTTAATTTCTCTGACCCCGTTTCTTCATCTGTAAAATTGCCCCAACGTTAGCACCGATCTTGTAGGGCTGTGGCAAAGAGGAAATGAGATGGTGGGTGAAGTGCCAGAAACAGAAGGGCGCTCAATTAATCGTAATTGCTGCCGCCTTTGTAGAATGGGAGGACTAAAGGAATCATTAGAGTTCGTTATACTCACATTTTCCAGAAGGGAAACTGAGGCCTGGGTAGGTAGATACAGCCGATCATGATGTTCAAATCGTGATGAGTAAGAAAACTTTGATAAGGAGTCATGGAATTGGATCGACTCAGTAGAAAATCTTTGTTCATGCAACTCATTCTTCTCTTTACAATCTCCAGGAATTTGAAAAGGTGCCCCTATTTATGAAGAATGTGCCATCAGAAATTGATCCCAAGGAGAATCCTGACTTGGCTTGCCTTCAGTCAATTATTTTTGATGAGGAGCGATCTCCAGAAGGTATCTGACATGACTAACATTTGTTTTGTTGAATTGAGATAAAGTGTGGGTCAGAAAAGTTCAGATTGATAACAAAGAAGTAGTTAGTGTGAGCTAACTTGTCACTGTTCCTCACAGACTTTTTTGAGTGCCCACTAAATGCTAGGCATTGGTGGGGGGAGTACAGTGGTGAATAAGACACCGTCCTGCCCTTCAAAGGTCAGACTCCAATGAGAAGCCTAATTGTCTTTAAGAGTCAGCACAAACGTGTGTGGTAAATGGCAACATGTAGCTGTATACTACAGCTGTAGTGGGTGTTTTCAGAATATTGAAGGGACAGTAGTGGGCTCACAATGGATAGGAAATGTGAGCAGTATGCAAGCAATTCTGTAAGCTTTAATTCTTTAGGGTGAGGAGGGGAAATTTGTACGCCAGAGAAGGAAACAACATAAACAAAATCAGCAGTATTCTTCTCTCCCATTTCTTCAGTGATTTTTTTTTTTAAAAAGCCCTTTTTTAAAGAGCTAGAATAAGTATACTTTTTTCCTTTATGCTTCTCTTTTTGGTAAGCACTTAGTGGTCTACCTTGTAAGATATTTGGAATTAGCATTAAATTTGCATGACTTTCTCTATGTTGATACTCATTTTTATCATAGCACTAATTTTGAGTTTTCTTTACCTATTGGTTTCTTCTCTTTGGTTTGTCATGCATTATGTTATTGCATGATTTAGAATCTGTTTCTTTCTTTCTTTCTTTCTTTCTTTCTTTTTTTTGAGTTGGAGTCTCATTCTGTCGCCCAGGCTGGAGTGCAATGGCACGCTCATGGCCACCGCAGCCTCAACCTGCTGGGCTCAGGTGATCTTTCTGTGTCAGCCTTCCAAGTAGCTAGAACTACAGGTGCATACCACTATGCCCAGCTACTTTTTTGATTTATTGTAAAAACAAGATCTTGCCAAGTTACCCAGGCTGGTTTCGAACCCCTGGGCTCAGGCAATCTTTTGCCTCTGCCTCCCAAAGTGCTGGGATTATAGGCATGAACCACTGCACCTGGTAGAATCTATTTTTAACCATTTATTTATTTATTTATTGAAGCAGAATCTCACTCTGTCACCCAGGCTGGAGTACAGTGGCATACTCACAACTATTGCAGCCTCGACCTGGGCACTGGTGATCCTTCTGCCTCAGCCTCCAAGTAACTGGGACTACAGGTGTACACCACCACTTCAGGCTAATTTTTATTTATTTATTATAGAGACGATGTCTTGCCACATTGCCCAGGCTAGTCTCAAACCCTGGGCTCAGACAGTTTTCTTGCCTTCACCACCCAGAGTGCTTATGATTACAGGCATGAGCCATTATGCCCAGCTGTTTACTATTTTTTGAGAGACAAGGTCTTTCTCTGTTGCTTAGGCTGGAGTGCAGTGGTGTGATCATAGCTCACTGCAGCCTTGAATTCCTGGACTCAAGCAATCAAAAATCCTCAGTCTCTAGAATAGCTGGGATTACATGTGTAAGCCACTGCGTCCCGCCTAATAAGCCTTTTAAAAAGTAGGCAGTAGTAATGATTTCTCCTCTTTGCAGAACAAGCCAAGACCTATAAAGATGAGGGCAATGATTACTTTAAAGAAAAAGACTATAAGAAAGCTGTGATTTCCTATACTGAAGGATTAAAGAAGAAATGTGCAGATCCTGATTTGAATGCTATCCTTTATACCAACCGAGCAGCGGCACAGTACTATCTAGGTAATTTATTTCATTATTAAGTGCTTTGTAAAGAATTAACTTATGATAAAAACCATTATGATGGGTAACGGGGGCTAGAGAGTATCAGAGCAATAGGGACTGTTTATCACAGAAACCTAGATTAAGGATAGTTTACTCTAATTGAACTCTTCTTCCAGGTAGACATGAAGCTCAAAAATCTTAGATCATACTCCCTCATATATCAAAACCTTACCAGAGTAACTGAGTTACTTTTTGGGTTCAGATAGTAAGAATTTTATAGTCCAGCCGGGCTCGGTGGCTCAGCCTGTAATCCCAGCGCTTTGGGAGGCTGAGGTGAGTGGATTGCCTGAGCCCGTGGGTTTGCGACCCGCCTGGGCAACTTGGCGAGACCTTATCTCTACAATAAATCAAAAAATTAGCCAGGTGTGGTAGCGCGCGCCTGTAGTTCCAGCTACTTGGAAGGCTGAGGCGGAAGGTTTGCCGGAGCCCAGCGGGTTGAGGCTGCGGTGGCTGGGAGCGGCCACTGCACTCCAGTCTGGGCGATGAAGTGAAACTCCAACTCAAAAAAAAAAAAAAAAAAGAATTTTATAGTCCATCTTGTTTTCCTTTTCACCATGTCTACCTGGAAGGACAGAGTTAGAGTAAACTATCCTTAGTCTAGGTTGTTCCTTATTCTAAAGTAGATGTTAGCCAACTATTACTCCAAGGCAGGTGATAGGTAAATACTAAACCATTAAATAATATTTATCATGTAAACTAGAAAGTCAGAGTCTACCTCATGGTCTCCTCCCAGTTTAGATAACTGGTGTGTGTGTGTGATTATATATCTTTTTAAAATGCACTTATACGTATGCATGTGTATAGGGGTTTCTGTATATTTAGTTTGGTTTGCCTTACAAAAATGGGCTCTTATTCACAAGGAACCATCACTTAGACAATGTGGCACATTCACCTTACCATGTCTCTTACGTGCAGATCTATCTCATTCTTTTTTAAGTTGGGTTTCACTCTATTACCCAGGCTAGAGTGCCGTGGCATAGTCATGGCTCGCTTATACTCATAGGCTCATAGGCTCGCCTTATACTCATAGGCTCAAGCAGTCCTCCTGCCTTAGCCTCTCGAGTAGCTGGGACTACAGGTGCATGCTACCTTGCCAGACTAATTTTTTGATTTTTTTTTTTTTTAGAGACAAGGTCTCTCTATGTTGTCTAGGTTGGTCTCGAACTCCTGGGCTCAGGTATTCCTTTTGCCTTGGTGTTCCAAAGTGCTGGGATGTGTGAGCCACCGCACCTGGCCAGTTTGTTTTTAATGGCTGACTAATAGTATTCTATAGTATGGATTTAGCATATTTCTTTTCATCATCACCAAATTGAGGATACTGGGTTATCCTTGCACATTTGTATATTTTTTTTCTTTTTCCCTCCCCACCTCTGTGTAAGTATTTTTAAGGATAATTTTCTAAAACATTTGTTTGAAATTGTTGAGTTGGCTGGGCTTGGTGGCTCAGCCTGTAATCCCAGCACTTTGGGAGGCCTAAGTGAGTGGATTACCTGAATCCGCGGGTTCGAGACCAGCCGGGGCAACTTGGCGAGACCTCGTCTGTACAATAAAAAAGTCAAAAATTAGCCAGGCATGGTAGTGCGCACCTGTAGTTCCAGCTACTTAGAAGGCTGGGGCAGAAAGATCACTGGGGTGGCCGTGAGTGTACCATTGCACTCCAGCCTGGGCAATGGAGTGAGAGTCCAACTCAAAAAAAAAAAATTGTTGAGTCAAAGTGTGTGTATAAAGTGCATGATAATTTGCTATCTGATTTATCCTAAGAAATGCCCCTTTTCCATGTTTTCACCAGTACTGGATATTATCTGTCTAATTTGTACCAATATCATATGAATTTTAATTTCCTAATGATTAGCGATGGTGAGCATCTTTTCATGTGCTTACTAGCTGTTTACAGTTTTTCTGTGGATTATCTGATGATATAAACATTTCAAAGGCTCTTGATGAGCACAGCTATATTTTTTCTAAAAACAGTTGCTCTGATTTATATCTTCTATATTTGCAAGATTGTCTTTGTCACTACATATAAAATTTTGGAAACGTGTTGATCTTGAAACTTGTTTTCTCTTTTACTTTAATGGTGTTTTGTTAGGCAATTTTCGCTCTGCTCTTAATGATGTGATGGCTGCCAGAAAGCTCAAACCCTGCCACCTCAAAGCCATAGTAAGAGGTAAGTCTTGTAGAAGTACAGTATGACTGTCATTATGGAAAACCTAGCACTTGGCCAGCATGGTGGCTCATGCCTGTAATCCCAGCACTGTAGGAGGCTGAGGCAGGAGGATCACTTGAGGCTAGGAGGTGGCGACCAGCCTGGGCAACATAGTGAGACCCTGCCTCTACAGAAATTTTGAAAAATTAGCTGGGTGTTGTGTTACACGCCTGTAATTCCAGCTACTTAGGAGGCGGAGGCAGGAGGATTGCTTGAGCCCAGGAGTGCAAGACTGGTAAGCTATGATTGTGCCACTGCCCTCTAGCCTAGACAATGGAGTAAGACCTTGTCTCTTTAAAAAAAAAAAAAAAGGAAAGAAAAAATAATAATAACAAAAAAAAAGCTAGCACTCACTGCACCAAAATTGTCATTTAAAGTTTTAATATTGGCAGTCTTTCCTTCTTGAGACTTGCCCATGCCAGGCCTTTCTGGTGTGAAACTTTACCTGTCTTTTGTTTTCTCTCTTCTTTCTGTAATAAACTTTGTTTTAAAACTTAAAAATAAATGAATAAAGGTTAAATATTAAGGTACTAGGATACTAATGAAGTTACCTTATTTTATCAGTCTTGATATTAAGTACCTGTTTCTTATCAATAGCAACATGCCATCTTTAAAAGAAGTTCTCAGAAATTATCTAATCCTTTTTATTTTTAAGAATTTTAGAGAAATTGAAACTCCTCATTTGAAATTAATAAAGAATAAAGTTAATTAAAACAAAGCAGTTCCAAAAGCCACATTCTAATTTTTTTTCAGACTGGCTGATTGAAAGGCAAGATCTTCAAATGCCATGTTAATGTTAATTAAAAGATAAGTTAGGGCACCTTTGCTGATAACTCTGATGCTGAGATGTTCCCAGATTACTTTTTCTCTTGTAGTATGACCTTTCTATGTAATAATAGTGCTTTTATTACTTTTATACTTCATCTTTTCTTTGAGCAGCTCAGAGGTGCTTTGCAAACTTTAATTTATTCATCACATATTCATCTTCTCTACATCCCCATGGGCCAGTTTAAAATGCTTTATTGAAATTATGCCTCTTAGCCAGGCTCGGTGGCTCAGCCTTTAATCCTGCGCTTTGGGAGGCTGAGGTGAGTGGATTGCCTGAGCCCGCGGGTTTGAGACCCACCTGGGCAACTTGGCGAGACCTCATCTCTACAATAAATCAAAAAATTAGCCGAGTGTGGTAGCGCGTGTCTGTAGTTCCAGCTACTTGGATGGCTGAGGCGGAAGGATCGCTGGAGCTCAGCAAGTCGAGGTTGCAATGGCCAAGAGCGGCCACTGCACTCCAGTCTGGGCAACAGAGTGAGACTCCAACTCAAAAAAAAAAAAAAAAAAAAAAGAAATTATGCCTCTTTAGATGTTCATGGTTAGGGGCGGTAAGTAGATCTGTACACCTTAGCTGTAAGGAAAGAAGTTACTGAACAAATACAGGCAAATAAATGGAGTATAGTCCTGTGGAGTTAGCCTCAGACTGGAAGTATGTAATCCTTGCTTCAGTTGTCATTTTTACCTTCCAGTGTGACCTTGGGCAGACACTTACTCTGAATATCAGTTTGCTCATCTCAGGAAGATGGGGTGAGATTTGGTTGACATCTAAGTTCTTAGAACTGATATTTTTATAATTCTGTGGAAAGTATGAGGAAGTTAGCTAGAGAAAAATGAACATGACTACATTAAAAAATTTTAGTAAGAAGAAGATGCAGCTTAAGTTGGTAGCCATAAAGAACAAAAATAGGAGAGGCCTAATGTTTTTTATCTTGCCACTGTCTTGAGTGGCTGAAGCAGTTTCTACTTTCTGTCTCCATTTAAAAAGTCATCTGAGATGGGCTTTATCCTTCCTGTTTGTGGATGAGGAACCTGAAGCTCGAATTTGCTTGGTTCTTTGTCTAAGGTCTATCTGGTAAATGACAGTCAGATTTCCTGCCCAGCGTAGTCAGATTCCAAAACCTGTTCTTTTTGCCACTAAGTGGTAGTTTTTCCTACTTTAAGAACCCTTAATACCAGGGAGACTAATAGGAGTTTTGAGCTGAATGAAATCTTAGGAGTCTTTCTGATTTAGGACACAAAAAATATTCTTTCTTCTCTGGGGACTGCAGTGTAAGGGCCTTATTCCACGATTCCCCTTCAGGATGTTGGCTGGTAGCTGGTGGGGTGTGGGGTCCTGCTCAGGGCAGGCTCCTTCCATGCATGTTGTTCTTGGATCCTAAGGGTCTGGGTTCTACAGGTGCCTTATGCCATCTGGAACTGAAACACTTTGCTGAAGCTGTGAACTGGTGCGATGAGGGGCTGCAGATAGATGCCAAAGAGAAGAAGCTTCTGGAAATGAGGGCTAAAGCAGACAAGCTGAAGGTTGGTAACAGCAGCCCATTCACATTTACTAATTAACATTAATTAGCATTTCCTAGATTGTGTCTCAGATTGCTGTAAATTTTTTCTCTTTAAAAACAAAACCCAGACCAGTCCCTACTCTTGGAACTTAGTGGAGGACACATACAAGTAAACAAACAAGTAAATAGTTAAGCGATAGTGGTGAACAAGAATATGTGGTGTGTCCAGTAGAGTATAGGCATGTGCCATGTAACAACTCAATGACGGACTGCGTTGACGGTGGATCCCTAAGATTGCAATGCCATATTTTTACTGTTTCTGATCTATGTTTCGGTGTGTAGATACACAGATAATTATCACTGTGTTGCAGTTGCTCACAGCATTCAGTGTAGTAACATGCTGTATAGGTTTGTAGCCTAGGAGTATATACCATATAACATTGGTGTGTAGTAGGCTACACTATCTGGGTTTGTGTAAAGTACACTCTGTGATGTTTGCACAACAGGATTGTGCATTTCTCAGAATGTATTCCTGTTGTTAAGGGATGTCATTACGTGACTGTAGATAGTAGTGGTATCTCACTTTGCCCTAGCCAAGAGTGGGGTGGAGATGGAGATAGCAGACAGAGAAGGTTCACTGAGAGAGGTGATGCCTGCCTGAGCCTAATCTCTTGAAGACTGAGTAGGAGTCTACTCAGCTGAATGATGGTAGAGAGAACATTTTATTTATTTTTATTTATTGTTTTTGTTTTTTTGAGTTGGAGTCTCACTCCATCGCCCAGGGTGGAGTGTAGTGGCACACTCACAGCCACCCCAGTGTCGACCTGCTGGGCTCCGGTGATCCTTCTGCTTCAGCCTTCCAAGTAGCTGGAACTATGGATGCATGCCACCATGCCTGGCTAGTTTTTGTGATTTATTGTAGAGAAGAGGTCTCGCCAAGTCTTCTGGGCTGGTCTGGAACCCACGTGCTCAGGCAATCCACTTGCCTCGGCCTCCCAAAGTGTTGGGATTACAGGCTGAGCCACCAAGCCCAGACTATGAGAAGAACATTTTAGACAAGAGCCAAGGAGGATATTGCAGCAAATTTGGGCTTGAACACTGCTTTGCCACTGCTGAACTGTGTAACTGGACAAGTTCCTGATATTTTTGAAGCTCAGTCTCATCTTTGAAAATGAGGAATATGATATATACCTCAAAGGTTTTTATAAGGATTAAGGGAGCGTGTGTATGTGTGTGTGTAATTCATATGTGTAGTTTTTGGCACATTTCTTGATATAGTAAGGACTTGATAAATAATGGCTATTATTATGATTTGAATAAACAGGAAATAACATAAGACTACCATAGTCTAGTCTGCATACTGAGTAATGCTCTTGAAAGAGGGGGAAAGGACAGTTAAACATTTAAACAAAACTTTAAGCTTTTTCATTAATGTGCAACTGTCAGCATTAAGACATGTAACTTGCTGATGAGATACTACATTTCTGGCATAACAGCTAAAATGATGATAAAAACAGTAATAGTAGCAGTAGCATCACTACCAAAAATAATATCCAACATTTAGATGGCACTTACTATGTTAAACTATCTAAACCACACAATAGCCCTGTAAGGCAGTTACTATCTTAATTCTCTTTCTGCTAAAGCCCAGAGAGATCAGAAAGTGCCTGAGTCACCCAACTGTGGTGAAGCAGGCTTTCAAATTCAGGCAGTCTTGCTCCAGAGTCCAGGCTCTTAGCCACTGTGCAGTACTGTACTACATGTCTGTTAATACAAAGCCAGAACTAGACTTTAGGCCTCCTGATTCCTGGTTTATGTCTCCCTTCACTGCTTATACTATGGAATGGGAATTTTCAATGCTCTGGGAGCCTTCAGTTGTCCTTGGACAGGAAGTCAGAGGTCATTCTGGTCACATGAAATGGTAGAAAAGGTAGATACTCCGGGCCCATTTATCTTAATAACAGAATTCTGAGCCTAAGTAATTGGGTGTGGGCCAGAATTTCTAAAAGTGGTATATGCAGGAGTGAAAGGCTAGGGGAAGGCCATAGCCAAGGCTGTCTATCCACCGAGAGCTCCTAGGTCCTGAAGCACAGTCACAACTAAAGGAAGATTTCAGGACTCAAGAGCCTGATAATAGGTCTAAGTGACATTGCTTGCTGAATAGCAGAATTACTCCCCATATCTAAATATAAATTGATTCTGGATTCCTATGTGCTTGGCTTATATAAGCAGCAGATCTCATGTGGCCATATTAATATCAGACAGAGTACACTTCAAGGCAGCAAGTATTACCAGAGATAAAGCGGGGTATTTTTTAAATGATGAAAGGATCCGCTTATAAGAAGATTTAACAATTCTAAATGTGTAGACACCTAATAACAAAGCTTCAAAATACATGAAATGAACTCAAGGAAGGAAGAGACAAATCTCCACAAATAGGTGGAGAGAGATGTCAACTCTTTCCCAGTAACTGATAAAAAAAGTATATTAAAAATAAAGAGGGGCCGGGTGTGGTGGCTCATGCCTGTAATCCAGCACTTTGGGAGGCTGAGGTGGAAGGATTTCTTGAGCCCAGGAGTTTGAAACTAGCCTGGGTAACAAAATGAGACCTCATGTCTACAAAAAATAAAAAAAAATTAGCTGGGCATGGTGGTGCATGCCTAACCCCAGCTACTCAGGGGGCTGAAGTGGAAGGATTGCCTGAGCCCAGGAGGTTGTGGTAAGCCTCTAGCATGCCTCTGCACTCCAGCATGGGCATCAGAGTGAGACCCAACTCACAAAAAAAAGGGGGGAGGGGATGATATCAGTTGTGGTGGACTGAAGACTTTCAAAAATTCTTTCCTCCAAAAAATCAATGAGAAAACTGGCTAAAATTGTCAGAATCAACTTTTCCCGAACTCTGAAAATGAACCAGAGGCTTGCAGCAATCTGTGGAGTGTTTATTCAAGAAAAATGGCTGAGACTCAGTAGGAACAGCAAACTTTGTAGCTTTTTAACTTGCTCTAGTCTCATCTCCACCTCCTCAGTTCCACAGTAGCTTTGAAAGCCGGTAGCCCAAGTCATGGTGAAAACCAGCAGCCTGGCAACCAGCAGAGGAGGCCGAGTAGGGCTGGAGCTCCTTAAAGTCTCATCTCCAAAGAACTGTCATCATTTGATCATCTGGTGGATCCCTGGAAGACCCTTCTTCAAGGCTGTTTTTTGGACCTGACTGGGAGCTTACCCAGTATGAACAGCTTTTTTATTAAATACAGAGGGAAAGAGAGTGAGGGGGGAGGAGTGACAATTAGAGGCAGTTGTTAAAGACTGCAGTCACCCGAAGTGGTGGATAACACTTGGCGCAAACAATAGGCTAATCATAAATCCTTTTTTTTTTTTTTTTTGAGTTGGAGTCTCACTCTGTCAGCCAGACTGGAGTGCAGTGGCCGCTCCCGGCCACCGCAGCCTCGCTTGCTGGGCTCCGGCGATCCTTCCGCCTCAGCCTTCCGAGTAGCCGGAATTACAGGCATGCGCTACCACGCCCGGCTGATTTTTTGATTTATTATAGAGATGAGGTCTCGCTGCCCAGGCGGGTCTCGAACCCGCGGGCTCAGGCAATCCACTCACCTCAGCCTCCCAAAGGCGCGGGATTACAGGCTGAGCCACTGAGCCCGGCTGCTAATCATAAATCTTAAAAGGAAAAGCTGGGTACTCGCTTTGGCAGCACATATAATAAAATTGTGTTTTAAATGAGCAAAGGATCTGAGTCTGAATAGAGATTTTTCTAAAAATAATACATAATTGGCCAAAAGCACATGAAAAATATGTTTAACATCATTAGTAATTAGAAAACGCAAATCAAAACCACAGTAAGTTATCATTTCACATCCATTAGGATGACTATGATTTTTTAAGAAAGAACAATAACAAATGTTGACAAGGATGTGGGGAAATTCGAATCCTTGTACCTTGCTAACGGGAATGCAAAATGGAACTGATGTGGAAAATAGTTTGGCAATTCCTTAAAAAAGTTAAATATAGAGTTACTGTAGAACCAGCGCTTCACCCCTGGTATATACCTCAAAGAACTGAAAACAGGTATTCAAAAAAACACTTGTATATGTATGATCGTAGCAACACTGTTCATAGTAGCCGAAGAGTAGAAATGTAAATGTTCATCAGCTGATGAGCGGATAAACAAAATGTGGTCTACCCATATAGCGGACTATTACTCAGCCGTAAAAAGGCATGAAGAACTGATCCTTGCTATAATGTGAATGACTCTCAAAACACTGTACCAAATGAAAGAAGCCAGACACAAAAGAGCAACATATGATTCTCTTTATATGAAACATCAGAAGTATGCAAATCCATAAAGACAAAGCAGATTTGTGGTTGCTGGGAGTTGAGGGAGAGGGGAATGAGATGGGACTGCTTAATGAGTGTGACATTATGCTTTGAAGTATTGAGGTATTGCGGAACTAGGCAGAAGTGATAAGCCATTGTCTCCCTGAAAGAATAGACTTTATTTATAAGAAAAAGATCTGTGTTAGCCCTTATGGAGAAGATGACGGATGGTTGGTGCTGTATTTTAGAGCAGGAGCCAGCAAACTGACCCATAACCGAAATCTAGCCTGTGACCTGTTTTGGACATGCTGTGAGCTAGGAATGTTTTTCACATTAAAAACAAACAAACAAAAACTAGATAACATACAACAGAGGCCATCATGGTCCACAAAGCCTAAAATATTTACTCTCTGGCCCTTTACGAAAAATGTTTATCAACCCATATTAATCCACAGTCCTGAGGGTAAAAGAAGCATCAGCGGATCTGGGGTAGATTAGCGGGAAAAGGAAATCTAAATTCTATTTCTGCCAGATGGAGTAGACTGATGGTACTTGTCTCTCATGGGTTATAATTGTGCAAAAGGCAGATCCTCTGATAAATCTTTGCCCTGGGTTTTTCCAGTGTGTTATCCTATATCCGGCACACTGCCTTGTGGAGTCAGTTGCTCTGTGGAGAATGCTCTTTCTCATGCATCTGGGGGAGTCTTTGTTGTGTACCTAAGTTCAGCTCCTCACTGGGGAGAATCAGCCACTCCCTCTTCTGTTTCATAGCATTTCGTTCATACCACCATGTAACAGATAGCACACATTGACTTTTCATTGTCTGTACCCCTCAGCCCCTCAGTAGACTAAGCTCATTGGGTACAGGAACTAGATTTCAAATTTCTGCCGCCACTGGGCCTGACACCTTCGCATGTGCTTTGTAAATGTTTATGGAACTGATCCAGCTACTGGTCTCCCTTGACACAGGAGCATGAGTTGGATAGAGACCAGAGAGGATAATTCAGGAGCAGGCCAGGGCAATAGAAGAGGAACCAAGTCTCTAGAGCTGATGCATCTGAATTTTGTTTTCAGCGAACAGAACAGAGGGACACGAGGAAAGCAAAGCTGAAAGAAAAGAAGGAGCAGAATCAGAACAAGGCTTTACTCCAGGCTGTCCAGGTGAGTTCTCAAGCCTCGGGTTCTGTGGTCCTGGGGAGTCCACTGATCCTGTGAAGCCTGTTGGGAACCTTCCTTGGAATGCTTTAGCTGAGGGAATTTCTCCATTTTCTTTCAACTGTGGTGAAGCAGAGTGACGAGGGAGCCCAGGCTCTGGAGTCAGACACCCTAAGTTCAGTCTGCTCTCCCTTTGTGTGTATTTGTTGGTCTCAGTAACTTACACAGTTATCTCCCCCCTTTCCCAGGGGGTTGTGTTCTAAGACCTTCAGGATGCCTGAAACCTCAGATAGCACCGAATTTGACTGCCGTCAGTCAGAACACATTTCTGCTCTTGTCTTCTACCCACAAACGTGATGCCTCTTCCATCTTAACTAAGCACTTATCATGTATTGTGTCCATATCTTTTGCAGTTTGAAGTACGAGAGCAAAACTAGCACACATTTCTTTTCTTCGGATTTTTACAGATAGAAGATTACTCTTAGTGTAGATCTTAGCAACCTCAGCATATGATTTTTTTAAAAATTGCCTTAAGTTGAGAACTTTCACCTTTTTACTTAAAGAAAGCACTTTTATGGCTTTTCTTTGGCATATCCAAATTGGCAGCATTACTCTTCTTGCACTTTGTAAAATAAAGTTCCTTGAACTCAAGCACTTCAGTGTAGCCACAGTTGATCTGACAACCAGGATGGCTGCCAAGTGACTACAGGCAGTAGCTATAGCATGGATATGCTGGACAAAGGGATGATTCTTGTCCCAGGCGGATGAAGCAGACAGCATGACATTTCATCACTGCACTGCAGCTTGGGCAACAGAATGACAACCTATCTCTTGAAAATAGCAACAACATCCTACTTCCCCTTCCTTCTCTTTCCTGCATTCTTTTTTTCCTGAGTCAGTCTCACTCTGTCACCCAGGCTAGATTGCAGTGGCACGATTACGGGTACCATAGCCTTGGCCTGCTGGGCTCAAGCAGTCCTTCCCCCTGAGCATTCCAAGTAGCTGGAACTATAGGCATGCGCCACCATGCCTGGCTAATTTGGTTTATTGTAGAGATGAGGTCTCGCCAGTTTGGCCAGGCTGGTCTTGAACCCCTGGGCTCAAACAATCCTCTGAGCTCCACCTCCCAAAGTGCTGGGATTACAGGTGTGAGCCACTGCATCTGATCCTAAGCTTGCTTTAACCTTGATACTCAGCAAATCACTTGTGTGATCTTACTTGGTCTTCACAAGGGAGATCGTACCTATTGGGAGATTGTAGGATGAGTTTTTGGTTTCATTCTTTTTCAGTTAAATTATGTACCCATTTAAGTTACTGGCTGACTTTGGTAACTTAACACTACTAAAATGCATTCCACTACTTTCTTCCCACAGCAGTCTGTCAACATGTATTAACAGATTAAACAGATTGGAATATTCCAGATTTTTCATCTAATCCTACTCACAGTGAGGGATTTGGTAATTTTCTTAAGGATAGAATATTGGAATGCCTAAACATTTGCAAACAGATGTTTTTATGTGTTTTCTTCTTTAGTCTAACCCTGCATCTCAAACTTCAGTGTGTATAAGAATTACTTTCAACAGTACACAAAGCCTTACATGCTATATTTTACTGATGTTAAACCTTCAGTAAAAGGAAGGATCAGCAAATTGTAGCCCGGAACATAGCTCTGCCTATTCATTTATGTATTACCTCTGGCTGTTTTTGTACTATAGTGGCAGAGTTGAGTAGTCAGTTTTGATAGAGATCATTGTCCCAGAAAGCTTAAAATATGCTTTATCTGACCCTTTATGTTCATCAACCCCTGATTTAGGGGATATTATCAAATGTAATTTTGGTTGCATGTCATTTTCCCACATGTGCTGACCTTAGCAACCCTTGTACACATGAATGAGAGGTAACCCTACCCTTCAGACCCTTGGTTTACCCTCATTTCTCTGAGACAGTCAAGATCAAGTCAGTGCAGTGCACATTATTTCTAGTATTCTGTGTCCCAGCTGAACAGAAAATTTGACATTTCGATACTGGCCACTCTCTTGATCTTTCTGTGCCTTTGCACAAGCATTCCTTGGGATGGAATATGCTTCCTCCCTCCTAACTGCCCCTGCCTCCTGTCTTCTCTGCCCTTCAGAGTCATCATCGTTCAAGACCCTGCATTCCTTGTCACCTCCAGCCCTCAACCCCCCACCCCCGAATTAATCATTTCACTGTTTGCAGTTCTGTAACTCCTCACCTTACATTGTCATTATTTCCATAACCGTCTCCTCACTAGGTTTTGAGCAGAGGTTTGAGGGCAGAGAACCTTGTCTAGCTCATCTCTGTGACACTGAGTCCAGCACATGGTAGATGCCCAGGGAAGGTGAGGAAACAAGTGGTGCCTACTATGTGCCAGGCCTCCGGGACAATGAAGATGAGTCATGTTTAGAACTGACCTCAAGGAGTTTGCATTTTAAAAGTTTCCTTATTTCAGTGAAATGGGTCTGCATCCTCCAATACAAGGTTTGTGTGTGTGTGTGTGTGTGTGTGTGTGTGTGTGTTTCTGTTCTTAACCCAGGCTAGGAACATCCGGCTCTCTGAAGCTGCTTGTGAGAATGAAGACTCAGCCTCAGAAGGTCCAGGTGACCTTTTCCTGAATGGACTCAACTCTGAGAACCCTTATGGAGCCAGGCTGAGTCTAGATGACCAGGGCAGGCTGAGCTGGCCTGTGCTCTTTCTGTATCCAGAGTATGCCCAGTCAGACTTCATCTCTGCTTTTCACGAGGACTCCAGGTATTCACTTGCCCAAGAGAGCCCTCTGCTCTTGCTTGTGTGCACTCCTTGCTTTTGGGGCAGGAGGAACAGGTGGAGTTTCGGTTGAGGAGGAAGGGTTTCACACAATCTGATTTGATACCACTGCCCTATCCTGTGGTTGACTGAACCTTTACTAACTGGGTTTGCAGTGACTACCTGAGCTAGTAAGGGTAACACCACGGTAGAGTGTTTGCCAGAGTGGTACATGTCACTGGTGAAATATGAAGTCATTTTAGGTAGTACTTGCATAGTAATTTAAGTGATTATTTACTAGCAAATAGCTAGCACATATAATTAACATGTAACCTGTGATTTCATAGGGTTCATGCTTAGAATGTGGCTAGCCTAAGAAGTGTTTTTAAGTCTGAGTTTGTTTAAAGAAAACTACATAATAGGACACATGGTGATACACATGTACATTTTGGGTATTGCTTTTAAATCCTGCCTTTCATGTTTTATACTTTTTTTTTTTTGAGTTGGCATCTCAGTCTCGCTCAGGCTGAGCAGTGGCATGCTCACGACCACCATAGCCTCAACCTGTTGGGCTCAGGTGATCCTTCCGCCTGAGCCTTCCAAGTACCTGAAACCACAAGCACTCACCACCACGCCTGGCTAATTTTTTGATTTATTGTAGAGATGAGGTCTCGCCAAATTGCCCAGCCTGGTCTTGAACCCGTGGTCTCAGATAGTCCTCTCACCTCAGCCTCCCAGAATGCTTGGATTATAGGCATGAGCCACTGCTCCTGGCGCATTTCATGTTTTATATATATATTTTTAAAGTACGAATCTCACTCTGTCGCCCAGATTGGAGCGCAGTGGTACGCTCATGGCCATCACAGCTTCGATCTGCTGGACTCAGGTGATCCTTCTATCTCAGTCTTCCAAGTATCTGGAACTACAAGCACACGCCACTACGCCCAACTAATTTTTTTTATTTATTATAGAGATGAGGTCTTGCCAAGTTGCCTAGGCTGGTCTTGAACCCCTGGACTCAGGCAATCTTTTCACCTGTGCCTCCCAAAGTACTGGGATTACAGGTATGAGCCACTGTGCCTGGCATGTTTTATAGATTCTTGGTATCTCTGTGAATTGATGTTTAGGACTGATGTGGGAAATAAATCATGAGTTATTAATACTCAGAAAATACATGTTACATCCTTAGGTTTATTGATCATCTAATGGCAGTGTTTGGTGAAACACCCTCTTGGGACTTAGAGCAAAAATATTGTCCTGATAACTTGGAGGTAAGAGGTTTTATTTTGTTCCTTTATGGTATTTTTTTTTTGTGGGGGGAGGGGAGGTGGAGAGAGTGGGACTTGACTGCTTTATTTTTAAAAAATTTTTTTGAGTTGGAATCTGTGTTGCCCAGGCTGGAGTGCAATGGTACACTCACGGCCACTGCAGTCTCGACTTGCTGGGCTTAGGCGATCCTTCCATCTCAGCATTTCAAGTAGCTGGAACTACAGGCATGTGCTGCCACGGATTATTTTTTGATTTATTGTAGAGACAAGGTCTCACTAAGTTGGCCAGGCTGGTTTCAAACCCTGGGCTCAGGCAATCCTCTCGCCTTGGCCACCCAAAGTGCTGGGATTACAGGCTAAGCCACCATGCCCAGCCAACTGCTTTATTTTTTTTGTAAATTATAGTAAAATATACATGACATTAAATTTACCATTATAACCATTTTTAGGTATATAGTTCAGTGTCATTGAGTACATTCACAAAACTTTTTACCATCTTAGACTGAAATTCCTTGCTCATTACAGTAACTCATTTTCTCTTTCTCCCAGTCCCTGACAACCACCATTCTTTTTTTGTTCCTATGATTTTATTTTATTTTTATTTTTTTATTTTAAAGTTGTGGGGTACAATTCAGGGTTAGGTATACAAATGTTGATTATGCAGATACCCTTGTTGATAAGGTGTGCCCCTACCTCCCCTAGCAATTTCCCTCAACTGCCAATCCCACCCCCCGCCCTTGGCAGTTTCCCACTGCTACCAATCCCTTTCTTATAGTATTACGATAATTGTCCAAGATCCGCTTATGAGTGAGAACATATGGTACTCTATTCTTTGTTTCTGTGGTAGATCACTGAGTATGATAGACTCTAAATCCATCCATGTTGCTGTGAAGTCCCTATGTTTGTCCTTCTTTATGGCTGCATAATATTCCATTGTGTATATGTACCACATTTTTTTATCCAGTCCAGCTTCGATGGGCAGCATGGTTGGTTCCATGTTTTTGCTGTGGTGAATAGAGCTGCAGCAAACGTACGTGTGCAGGTATCTTTTTTGTTGAATGGTTTCTGTTCCTCTGGGTATATTCCCAATAGGGGAATTGCTGGGTCATATGGAAGGTCAGTTTCTAGTTCCTTCAGAAATTGTCACACTATCTTCCAAAGAGGTTGTACTAGTTTGCATTCCCACCAGCAGTGTAGAAGCGTTCCTTTTTTTCCGCATCCTCACCAGCATCTGTTGTTTGTTTTATTAATGATGGCCATTTTTACTGGGGTTAGGCGGTATCTCAGTGTGATTTTGATTTGTATTTCTCCGATGATTAGTGAGGCTGAGCACTTTTTCATGTGTTTATTGGCTGCCTGTATATCTTCTTTTGAGAAGTGTTTATTCATGTCTTTTGCCCACTTTTTAATGGAGCTGTTTGGTTTTTCCCGTTTGGCACATTTGAATTCCTTGTAGATCCTAGATGCTAGGCCTTTGTCAGATATACAATTGGCAAATATTTTTTCCCATTCTGTGGGCTGTCTCCCTGCTCTCTTGGTGGTTTCTTTTGCTTTGCAGAAGCTTGTCAGTTTGATGAGGTCCCACTTGTCTATCTTATTTCTTATGGTATAGACACTTTGGATTCTGATCAGGAATTGGTTGTCAGTTCCAATTTCCACAAGGGTGTCTCTTGCGTTTTCTAAAATTCTTACAGTTTGAGGTTTTATGTTTAGGTCTTTGATCCATTTAGAGTTAATTTTTGTGTATGGTGATAGGTAGGGGTCCTATTTCAATCTTCTGCATGTGATCAGCCAGTTTTCTCAGCACCATTTACTGAATAGGTTCTCCTCTCCCCAGTGTTTGTTGTTGGAGGCTTTGTCAAAGATGAGTTGGTTGAGAAATTGAAACTTTGCTTTTGGAATCTCTTTCCTGTTCCATTGGTCTATATGCCTGTTCTTGTACCAATACCAGGCTGTTTTTAGTACTGTAGTCTTATAGTAAAGTTTGAAGTCTGGAAGTGTGATATCTCCTGCTTTGTTTCTTTTGCTAAGGATTGTTTTGGTTATTTGTGGTCGTTTGTGTTTCCATAT